TGTGTGTGTGTGTGTGTGTGTGTGTGTGTGTGTGTGTGTCTGTCTGTCTGTCACTATCCATACCTATAGCCGGCCTTATGGCTCTCTGTTTTCCTGTTGCTGTGTCTACTTCTTTTTTCTTTCACACCTAGTAACACGGAAACCCAGAAAATAGGAGCAGGGAGTAGACCATTCGGCCCCTCATAGAGTCATAGAGTCTTACAGAATGGAGATAGGCCTCTCAGCCCAAACTGGTCCATGCCAACCAAAATGTCCATCCATGCAAGCCCCATTTCTCTGCACTTACCCCATATCCTTCTAAACCTTTCCTATCCACGTATTCGTCCAAATGCCTTTTAAATGTCATTAATGGACCCGTCTCAACCACTTCCGCTGGCAGCTCATTCCATATGCATATGAGCCTGCTGTACCATTCAGTATGATGCTGGCTGACCATCTGACTCAGTCCCCTGTTGCTGCTTTCCTCCATCCCCTTTGACAGACAAAGCATGTACAGATCTCGGTTTTCTGTATTTAGTTTGTCCTGCAATAGGTTATCAGCTTGTCACTAGAGAGTTGCGGGACATGTCACTCCATAACGAGCAAGAGACACTGTCCTACTCTGAAGCCTACCATTGGGATTTTGGAGGGTTTGCAGGTTGATAATTAACACTTTTATCCACATTATGAACTCACCTTCCTTGGCCATCAAAGCCCTGGAGTGGGAGTTGAACCTAGAGCTTCTGGTACAGAGGCAAGGACACTACCCACTGCACCACCTCCATACTGTGTCTCACCTGTATTAAACCAATTGATGAATGCCTGTGACCATTACACTGGTTTCTCCATGTGCATTTACCTAACTGTGTAATTATTTATGGCCATGTTTCTACCTCCCCCTTTTTCAATTTATCTTGTGAATCCCTCTCACTGACACACAAACATGTGAACTAGGAGCAGGAGTGAGCCATTCAGCCTCTCAAATCTGCTACACCATAATGTCTGATCTGATTGTAACTGCAACTCCATGTTCCTGCCTCTCCCGATGACCTTTTACCCTCTACCTCAGTATTAAAAATATTCAAGGACTCTTCTTCCACTGCCTTTTGAGGGAATGAGTTCCAAAGACTCTCAAGCCTTTGAGAGAAAAAAAAACTCCTCATCTTTGTTTGAGTTGGGCGATGTTTTTTGTTAAACAGTGACCCTCAGTTCCAGATTTCCAGAATGAAAGATCCTCCCCACATTCATTCTGTCAAGACCCCTCAGGATCTTAGATGTTTCAACCAAGTTGCCTCCTACTCTTCTAAATTCCAGCAGATACAAAGCCCAGTCTGTCCATCCTTTATCCTTGTCTTGTTATCTGTGTGTGTGTGTGTGTGTGTGTGTGTCTCTGTCTTTCTCTCTGTCACTAGGAACTGGACTTTCCCATTGAGGTTGGGTAAACAGTTTTGAACCCATCCCTGTGGGAAAGGAGTCACTCTCGGTGACTTTCCTGGGGCATCCCTATTTTTGTCCTTCAACCTGTTAGGACTCAGAACTTCTGGCCCAGAGGAATGGGCACTGCTACTGTACCAAATAGCCCAACGCACACTCTCCGTTAAATGATATGGGTCCCCGTCCAATTAACTGTGGCTGGGGAGTCAATGAGGTGAATTATAGTTCAAAGTGAGCACCAGGCTGTGATGGAGGCCTAGTGAGAGAGAGGCATGTATTCAAGATGGAGGCAGCCTCTCTCTGACTACTTGAAGAACCTCCATCGGAAAACGGATCTGACACTATTGTTTGGTGGCTGTCTTGGTGGGAGAGCGTGGTGAGAGGTGGAGGGGGGAGTGGCTAAGCCCCTCTACAGGGTATCCTGTGACTGATTCCACACCCAGGCTGAGCAGGAGGGCCTCCAGATTGTCCTGGAATGCTCAGCCCCGGCCTGCCATTGGATGTCCATTTCCAGGCATCTTAACTGCACACCCCACCCCCACCCCACCCCTGCTTTCTACACAAATGAGAATTTCGAAAGAACAAAGGAAACCTGCTAAAATTAATCCAGAATAAGATTCTCAAAGATCATGATGCACCCGAACCCCAGAAAAGTGTGTGCTATGCTGTTGGACTCCACATGTTCCCGCTGAACGGACATTTGAGTGCAGATGTAACCATAGAAAGGGGCGCAGACAACCAGGCACTTGAACCCCATCCATGGCCCACTGTTTGGACTCCATCCTATGCTGAGTCAAAGTGCCTGTCTAATTGTCAGTGGTGGAGAATGGAGTACTATAGTTCCACTCACAGCTCACATATTCTTTGTCTGTTGGTGGGTCTCTAACCCTGGCCTGGTAAAAGTACTCTCTTTTCACAGGTTGCGTTGCCTTGTTCCTCATGACCTTACTTCTGGGGCTTAAGGACCTCGTAGCCAAAGTCTTCACCAGTGACCGGTTAGTATGCCTTCCTTATGCCTGACCTTGCTGTGAGATGCTGTAGTGGCACTTTGCCAGTGGTAGCATTGAAGAGACTGTCGTCAGGCCTGTTGTTGGAGTCAGGACTGTGACCCACGCCAAAGGGTGTTACTCGCTGACACCTTGTAGTATCGACCCCTCGACCAATAAGCCACTCTCCAAGGCCAGTCTATACTTCCTTGATTGTGGTTCCCAGATCTGCCCACAGTACTCCAAATGGGGTCTAACCAGGGTTTTGCATAGCTGCAGCATAACTTCTGCTTCCTTCTGCTCCAGACCTTTAGATATAAAGGCATACATTCCATTAGCTTTCGGTTATTTTCTGCACCTGTTCATGGCATTTTAAGGATCTGTGCACCTGAACTCTCAAATCTCTTTGGATGTCCATTATATTTAATTTCATACCATCTAGAAAGTATCTGATTTGTCCTTTATCAGTCCAAGATGGATAACCTCACACTTGCTTGCATTGACCCCCATCTGCCATAGTTTTGACCATTCATCTCGCTTATCAAGATCCCTTTGTAATTTTATGCTTTCATCTGCACTGGCTGAAATGCTGCCTAACTTTGTGCCATTAGCAAATGTGACTTTCTATGCAATTATCCATGAAGTTAATAAACAATGTGAATAACTGAGGCCCTAACACAGATCCCTGAGGGGCACCATTGGTCGCATCCTGCCAATTTGAGCACCTACCCATTAACCCTATTCTCTGCTGCCTGCCACTCAGCCAACTTGTTCTCAATTCCATGGGTTTCTATCTTACTTAACAATCTTGCGAGACTTTATATCAACTGCCTTCTGGAAGTTCATGTTAACGACATCCATAGATATTCCCCTCGCCACTACCTTCGTCACCTTTTTAAAACGTTCAATGAAGTTTGTCAGGCATGACCTATCTCTCTTTGATTAACTGAAAATTTTCAAGGTGTTCAGTTACCCCATTCTTGATTATAGACTCCAACGATTTTCCCACCATAGATTTGAGGCTAACTGGTCTCTAATTCCCCGGTTTTCCTCTTTCGCCCTTCTTAAAAAGCAGAATAACATGTGCAATTATCCAATCCAGAGGGATGACTCCTGTATTCTGAGAGCTCTGAAAGATTATAGTCCGGGTGTCTACAGTGTGCTCCCTACTTCCTTTAACACTCTTGGATGGAAACTCAGGTCCTGGGGATTTGTCTCTCTTTAGTTCAATTAATTTCCTTATTACCGGTGTTTTATTCAGTCCGTGTTCCCGATCCACTGTTAATTTGCTCGGGGCTTCCATCAAGCTAACCTCCCTTTTTACCGTAAACACTGAGGCAAAGTCTGCCAACATGAGTGCTATTTCTGCATAGTCAGTGACAATACCCCCACTTCTCAGTGGGCCAACCAACATTGCTCCTGACCCTTTTCTGATGAAGGGTCTAGGCCCGAAACGTCAGCCTCTCTGCTCCTATGATGCTGCTTGGCCTGCTGTGTTCATCCAGCCCTGCACCTTGTTGTCTCGGATTCTCCAGCATCTGCAGTTCATACTATCTCTGATTGCTCCTGACCAGCCACTTTCCCTTCATCTAACTGTGAACATTTCTGCACATTGATTTTGATGTTCCTTGCAAGTATCCTTTCATAATCCTTTTTAGTAGCTTCTAAAAGCTGCTTTGTGGCCCCTTGTTAGCCCTTCTTATTTGTCAGGATCTGTGCTGTTTTTTGAATTTTTAGAAGACCTTTCTTTTCGTTTTATGCTGTCCCTTATCTCTTTAGTTGTCTATGGCTGTGTTTTTCTCATTAAAATCAGCCTTACATAAATCGACAATTCTAGTAGCTGATTCATGCTTTTCGCTTCCAAATGCTGCATTGAACTCAATCATGTAATGACAAATGTTAGTGCACAATTAGTTACTAACTAAATCTGGCTCAATACTTGTTATTAAATTCAATATTGCTTGTTCCTTTTTGCATCCAGGACATATTGCTATAGGAAACTTTGCCAGACATTTACTGCCTTTCTGACCAGTGTTTGTCTGCCCTCTTCAATCCATGTTCAAGTTACAATCTTCCATTAATACAAGGCTGTCTTTGTTACAAACTTGCCTAATTTCTACAATTGTACAATCTAGCACTTCACAGCTGCTACAGGGCAGTCTGTATGTAACACCTGTTACAGTTTTAGATCCTTTACTATTCCTGAGCTCCACCCATATGGTCTCCACAATGCTTTCTCCTTTTCTCCTGTCTATCCTGCAAACCTTATAACCTGGTATGTATTGTTCCCAGTTCCAACCATCCGTGTCTCAGTAATGGCTACTATATCACAATCTCCAATTTGAATTTGTGTCTGCAGCTCAATTAATTTATTCCTTGTGTTCTGTGCATTTGTGTACAAAACTTTATTTGGGCCATAACCTGTCCCTCAGCATGGATGCTTTATTCACCTCTTAGAGAATAACTCTCAGAATCCTGTACAGTGTGGAGATAGGCCCTTCAGCCCGACAAGTCCATGCAGACCTTCAGAGCATCCCACTCAGACCCATTCCCCTTTACACCCACCTTATCTACACATCCCTGAATACTACAGGCAATTTAGCATGGCCAGTCTACCTAATCTGCACATCTTTGGACTGTGGGAGGAAACTGGAGCTCCTGGAGCAAACGTGCACAGACACAGGGAAAATGTGCAAACTCCACACAGACAGTCGCCCAAGGGTGGAATTGAACCCAGGTCCCTGGCGCTGTGAGGCAGCAGTGCTAACCACTGAGCCATCATGCCACCCTATTCATTATTTCTCTCTTCCGATTTAATTAACATGCTCCTTATAGTTTTGCCATTCCCTGCTACGCCTGAAGTGGGATTCCAGACTGTTTCTTTATTCTCTGTCCTGTTACTTGTTTGTGAAATGGTATTAATTACCTGTGAGCCCTCCTCTGAGAGATGACAACTGCAGTAACAGATTATTGGATGACTAGGGAAGTGGACCTTGAAAACTAAACAGACTGCCTGAATTGCAAAGTATTCATTTTGAAATGTATAATCTAAAAACATTTCTCTCTTGTAACAGGCAAATTGTTGACCTGGTTTCCAGGACAATACCAATCGTGGCTCCTGTTCACCTGTCTGATGCTATCGGCTCGGTGAGTGACAGGAACATGCCAACTCTGCTTCAAAGTCAAATTCTCTACAGACCCTGGCATGGGGCATCACCAGATGGAATTGGAGACAAGTCTTTGGCACCAAATCTTTAATTTTCACTCCCATCTGGGTTGCCTTAATATTGATGACCCCAACTCTCAATATTGCCCTTCGTGGTTAATGTTATAGAGTTTAGGAGTAGGGAGGTGTATTGCTGCAACTGTATTGGTGAGACCACATCTGGAATACCATGAGCAGTTTTGCTCCCCTTGTCTTTAAGAAAAGACATCATTTCATTGGAGACACTTCAGAAGAGGTTCACTAGGATGATCCCTGGTATGGAGGGAGGTATCCCTGGTATGGAAGGCTAAACAGGTTGGGACTCTACTTGCTGGAGCTGTGAAGAATGAGACATGATCTGGGGAAGTTGAAACAGTTGTTGAGAAGGTTTATAGGATCCTTAGGTTTACAAATAGAGTAAGGCATTTAGATGTCATTGTTGAGGTTGTACAGAATGTTGGTGAGGCCTCTTCTGGAGTGCTGGGTATAGTCCTAGATATCTTGCTAAAGGAAGGATATTATTAAATTGGAGAGGGTTTAGAAAAGATTTACCAGGATGTAGCTGGGATTGGAGGGCTAGAGTTATAAAGATAGGCAGGATAGGCAGGGGCTTTTATCACTGGAGTGTAGGAGGTTGAGGGGACATGTCACAACAAGAATTTACATTAGCTAGAGTACCTCGGGCACTTTACAGGGTGTGGAGAAAAGGAGATGAGGGGGTAAGAAGGTGGGCAAAAGATTGAAGAGAAGGTTCCTCAGAGATGCAGCACGATATATAATGACTGGAGATGCCGAGGGAGGAAATTCCGACATGCTGGAATGTGTAGGATCCGCAGAGTGACACATGACATGGTTCGATCTCCCCGTTTATTGACATGGGGCACAGCCCCATTGCCCTGGACATCTCCTCAAAGGAGGAATAAGGAGAACTATCCCCTACAGCCATTTTCACACAGTCTGCTAAAAGGGTATAGACAGACTGTGCTGTTGGGGAGTGTGCATGGTTACCAGAGATAACAGGAGAGGGAGAACGAGTCACTACAGCGGTTAAAAGGCTTAAATTATAAGCCAAAAGAACTGCGGATGCTGTAAATCAGGAACAAAAACAAAGTTGCTGGAAAAGCTCAGCAGGTCTGGCAGCATCTGTGGAGGAGAAAACAGAGTTAACGTGTCGGGTCCGGTGACCCTTCCTCAGAACTGATGGTGGCTGGGAAAACGTCAGCTTATGTGCAGGGAAATGCAATCATAAACAGGGATTGCTGGAGAAACTCAGTGGGTCTGGCAGCGTCTGTGGGGAGGGGAGGCGAGGCAGAGTTAATGTTGCAAGTCCAGTGACCCTTTTGAAAGTTTTGCCGTTTTTCTCTCCACAGATGCTGTGCTTCTCCAACACTCCATTTTTGTTTCAGATTTCCAGAGTCCTTTGTATTTATTTCACTCCTTGGTGTCCGCTGCAAGAAGGGAAGCCTTCAGTGGATGTTCCTGTAAAGTTACCGCTAAACAGTGAAGTGGACAGTGATCCCAATGGCCAGAACTACCAATCCTGCTACAACGGCAAGACCACGGCGAATGACCAGTTGGGCAGGCGACAAGATACCAGCTGTTAGGGTATTTGCTATCAATGTGGTGTGTTCCAGCTGATGTGGTTCCTCCTGGCCCTGTGACAATGCTGAGGCGCCATCTTCTGCAAGATCTGGAACACAAGTGTTTTAGAAGCAACAAATATTTATAACGCCATATCTGTGGTCAGCACAGACTTCACTGTACAGGAGTGTTGTGGTAATGTCAGCGAACTGGTAATCAAGGAGCACAGGCTAACACGTGGCTTTGAATCCCACCAGAGTGGAACTTAAATTCAATTAACACAAAAATCTGGAATGGAAAGCTAGTCTCAATAATAGTAACCAGGAAACTAGCGTCAATTGTTTCAAAAGCCTGTCTGTTTCACTAATGTCCTTTAGGTAGGGAAATCTGCCGTCCTTATCTGGGTCTGGTCTACACGTGACTCCAGATCACCAACAATTTGGTTGACTCTTATCTGCCCTCTGAAAAGCCGAGCCTTTAAGGGCAATTAGGGATGAGCATCTTCTACTCACCTTGCGAGCAAACAGCAAAGAAAAACAAATATTGGAGTCCATACATCTGCTCCAGATTAGGCTGGAGTGATGTTGATCACGACTAGACTTCAAACCTCTCCGACACCAGTAAACGAAGCGAGGTTATTTGATAATTTAGTGCTTGTTTTTTTGGGAGAACTTTGCAATAAGCAAACTGGCTGTCACGAGGATTGTAGTGGCACAGTGGGATTGTCACGAGACTAATAATCCTGAGGCCCAAGTTCATGGTCTGGGGCCGTGGGTTCAAAGCCCACCACAGTGAAATGGGATTCAACAATAATCTGAGTTTAAGGATAGCTGGTCAATTGTTGTAAAAACCCATCTCATTCACTAATGCCCTTTAGGGAAGGAAATCTGCTGTCCTTACCTGTGACTCCTGACAACACAGCAATGTGGTTGACTCTTAACTACCCTAGTACATGGCAATGAGTTCTGGCTCAGTCAGTGATGAGAGCATCCAATGAATTTAAAAATAACATACCATTGATAGAAGTTTGAACCTAATTCCTGAACAAATGAAGTTGCCACACATATAACTCACTAATTTGAAATTGTTACATAATGTGAAGGAAGAGCAGTACAACCCTGGCCCTATCTAGCTTCATATCAAGTGCAATGTATCGTATCTGTGCAATTACCAAAGCTCAAGCCAACTGTGCTGGGCCCAGTTCCCCTCCTCAATCCTGTTCTCTCTTGAGCCTGAAGGGAAACAGAATTGGAGTCAAGTATTAAATTGTTTCTTTATTGAACACTCAGTGATCAGAACCACGATCTATGTGCACAGAACCTCAAAGCAGTCGCGCAGTTAGAGGGAACTTTGGGGATGAGCTGCCTTCTTGAACCGCTGCACTCCCGGAGCGTAGGGACACCCACACTGCGGCGCTCCCGGAGCGTAGGGACACCCACACTGCCGCGCTCCCGGAGCGTAGGGACACCCACACTGCCGGAGGGTAGGGACACCCACACTGCCGCACTCCCGGAGCGTAGGGACACCCACACTGCCGGAGGGTAGGGACACCCACACTGCCGGAGTGTAGGGTCACCCACACTGCCGGAGCGTAGGGTCACCCACACTGCCGGAGCGTAGGGACACCCACACTGCCGGAGCGTAGGGACACCCACACTGCCGCACTCCCGGAGCGTAGGGTCACCCACACTGCCGGAGGGTAGGGACAC